TCATGACTTTTTAAATATCACCTTTACAAAACCTATGATAATGTAAATCCATTCCAATATTAAATTGCTTTCTATAGTTCAACCAAAGTACAAACAAACCATCAAATATTATTTTCTATCATACCTTTAATTGTGAATACTGAATTTTCAATGCATTTTAATGCTAGATCAATCATTAAATCAAAATATGAGCCGCGTCACGACAAAACCAACGTAATGCGTTTGCGACCAGCATTGATCAAGACTAGCCTGCGCATCCGCGCAGTCTGATCAGGATCCATGCTGTTCGCTAACAAACCGTATTATAAGTAGAGAAACTGAGAGCGAACAGCATTGATCCTGATCAGACTGCGCGGACGCGCAGGCTGGTCTGGATCCATGCTGGTCGCAAACGCATTACGTTGGTTTTGTCTTGACGCGCCTCAAATGTAGTTTGTATTTACATGATGTACTGCTGTTATCAAGGAGTGAATGTGTACTTTGTGATATATATGCGAACAGTACCAAAATCAAATAAACTCTGAACTATTGCCCTAATGAAAAACAAAAAAAATGTTTCGAGGTAAAGGTACAGCATTCCCGGAAATGATGTTATTTTTTAATTTTCAAAAGCTTTTCATAGTTTTGGAAGCCTGTTAAACCTTCATAAACCAATTACCTAAATAATAGTTTGCCTCTGTTGCTTTATTTTTGGCAATTTGTAGAGTTATAATGAATATGTATCTTGTATGGAAGTCAACATACTGTTTTGTGTATATATCGCTAATTTAATGACAAATATTTTTTCATACAGCCCTGTCTTCTTCTGGTGATAAGCAGCACACATGCTCAACGACCATAATTTAAATGTTATAAAAATCACGAGTGCCCTTTCTAACAAAAAAGGAAAATTGTATTCGTTTATGGGGAATAATGTGCCTTTAAAGACAAAGCAAAGAATCAGTATGGCTTCCGCGCCCGTCTTTGTCGATTGTTGTATGCTATATATTTCAAGTCACAGGGTCTACTCTATTGCAAACAATATGATATTTTTGACCCTCTTTTAAAACGTAAACTTACTTCTTTTACATTAATAACTATTGTGACCTCGTTTTTAATGTACTGGCATGTATTCGATATTTTGAATAAATTATAAAATTTTTATCGAACGTTTGAATAAAAAAGACATTAAAATATTATATTTCTGATTAAAAAGATAGCATTCATGCAAGTCATCGTCCGTTTATTATTCCATTCATAATCAAAGTGTAGTTGAACGACCTTTCGTTAAGTTTTGGTTTTAAGTATTAAATAAAAACCAACATCTTCGCTACGAGGAGAACCTTGTGGTTATTTTTATAATATTTTATAATAATTGTGGCCAATAACACTTAATATTCTTATAATTTTAGAAACCCGCTCTTAACCTACTTCGTATTATCCTGCAAATAAAGTTTTAACAAAGTAGATAATCTCTATACTACTTGTAAAACTCTATTGAACTCAAGGAAAAACGTACCATATTTCTCTCAATTTAAATGTAACAACTCTAATAAGAAGTCTCTATATTGAAGTGTCAATATTTAAATGGAAAAGTTTTGTTCTCTAAGCCGTTGTATACATAATTTATTTTTCTGCAATAACGTTTGACAATATATGAGAGTAAATCTTCAACTTTGTATGATTGTTACGCTATATCTTTAATCTGACGTTTAACATTCAATGAGCCGCGTCATGACAAAACCAACATAATGGGTTTGCGACCAGCGCAGTCTGATCAGGATCCATGCTGTTCGCTTACAAACCCTATAACAAGTAGAGAAACTGAAAGCGAACAGCATGGATGCGCAGGCTGGTCTGGATCCATGCTGGTCGCAAACCCATTATGTTGGTTTTGTCATGACGCGGCTCAAATGAAGAAAATTACCTTCTTAAAGGAGAGTTTTTTTTTGACATGACAGACTGGGAATAATTTTCTGAGATTAATGCTCCATTTGATGTAGGTCAAGGGAACTATCTTGTGTGCAATTTTCAGATCATTCGATTTCTCCGTTATTCCAGAATAATTGTTCTAATTGTGAAAATGACCCAACATTCAAAAAAGCTTCTCTCAGCACAAAAGTATGACCGTTTCATTTATTTAAGAGCTGATTTTTTTAATTGTCTTTCGCATATCTTTGTCATAAATGTTTTATGTAAGAAATTCAAATTTTATCCTTTTAGGCTTCAGTGGAATTCCTTCAAAATCAAATGTGTACAATGTATACTAGAATTATCTCCCTTGCTCTAAATCATTCCTGTTAAACTAGACTTAGTCTTTAAATATGTATGTCTGACAGGATTTTTCATTTTAAACCTCTGATGTTAGATATTTATACAATAAGTTCCAATAGACCTACAGACCATTTCAGCAATTCAGATATTTTTTTTTATATTTTTAATGACACTGCCTCTATTGCAAGACTTTAGGGTCTTTACTTTTCGGACTTTGTCATCGTGTGCAACTCAGAGAACTATATTTCAGGCATCAAGGTTCCGCTTTCGTAAGCTTAAAGTTTGTTTAGAGTCATCATAACATAAAACTGTTGAGTGTTTAAACTGAAACAACTCAGGGACACGCTGCCCTGAAAAGCAGTTTTGATTATTTGAAGTACGCAGGCACCACAAACTTACCAAAGCCCCATTTTACTGGCAATACCGTCTAGTTCTAGTTCAATATTGAATAAAGTCAGCATGTTATGATATTAAACATTTATCACCTGTTACCCTTTTAACTAGTCTTAAGATTGACCTAGATAATTTGCATTTCGAGTTGATCCTAAATAACATCTTATAATAAAACATAATCTTTGAACAAATCTTCCAGCGCGTAATGAGATTACAGAATGTTTTATAACCATAATTAGTCTGTGAGAAACCTGCAGTAGGGTTATATAATGCAGGTGATTATTACAAAAACCAACGGATAAGAAATCACGGTGAAGGATTAGAAATCACCGTAAAGTATTAGGGAGATAATCCAATAAATTCTAAAATCTCGTTCATATGTCTATTGCACGACAGCTGCAAGTTGTGCGCTAGAATGTATCTAGTGGAATCTAAACCATGAAAGAAAAAAAAAACATTAACAAATCAGTCGATACTAATGATACAAAATCAATAAGATAATCCTTTAAATCTATCAAGAAACACCTGTACGTTGCAAGGTAGAGTTCGTGTAAGAATACATTATTCACGAAGAAAAGTAGTTCCTTTTGGTAAGCTTCCCTGACATTTGGACCTGACTTGAGGGAATGAGATACAAATGCATTATCATTATTATTATTATTATCATTACACAAAAATGAGCTTATAATTCTTATAATGTGAAATGCAACCGTTATCACTACTATGTTACGTGTATCTTTTAACTGTTGATGAATAAACTATATCCTTTTGAAGAACAACATAATTAGTAAGATGCTATTCTCTTAAATGCATAGAAAAAAATTAAGTTTACTTATAAAAAGTAAAACAAAACAGCAAGAAAAGATCAAAAACAACATGAAAGTCAGTATAAAATTATCAGGTAAATTTCGTGGACTTCACATAATTATAAAATGTTACATATTTAACAGTCACCAAGCTTAAAAGCAGGATCGTATAATTATGGTGTTTTGTAAGCGCCCAAAGAAAACTATTTTTTTAACGAAACAATCGGTTTCATAAATGATTGTTGAATTCATAACCATGATGGATTCATAATTCTTTATCTGAGTGATTAATGAGCTCGATGATTGAGCGAATGGACGAATAAATGATTATAAAATGAATGATTGATTGAATGAATGAATGAATGAATGAAAAAATGAAGAATAAACTAATAAATGAATAAATGAATGAATAAATGAATAAATGAATGAATCAATGAACGAATCAATGAATGAATCAATGAATGAATGAATGAATGAATGAATAAATAAATGAATGAATGAATAAATGAATGAATGAAAGAATGAATGAATGAATGAATGAATGAATGAATGAATAAATGAAAAATGAGCAAATGAAAAATTGAATTGATGTGTGGACAAACAAATTAATAAAGGAGACCATTCTTTCGTTTAAACATTGAAAGTTTAAAGACGTTAGACAACGGTCACGGTTTTTTTGTTGTTGTTTTATTTTCATATAGCAACTGAGTAAACAAAAACAACAACAACAAATAGTAGACAAACTTTAGACCGTAAAATCAGCAGATCTCTATTCTATATACATTAATGCATGCATGGTTAAACATAAGTTAGTTTAATCATGGGCGGACGTTTCTCTTATTGCCCTCCTGGTTTGATCCTTATAATACAAGTCAAGTTGTACTAAAATTAAACCTTTTTTAAAACAATGACTTTACCAGTTATTAAGAAGAAAAAAAGTTTAAATATCGAAAGTTGTACTCCAAAACCTTTGTTTTGACGCATTACATGAATATAAAACAAAGCATATTAAATTAGCCATTTTCTTCGCTTGAGTAAAATACAATGGATATAATAGAAAACAAGGGTTCTGTTTAGTTGCCCATATTACATATCTAGCATTTTACAATTGCTGATTTACCATTTACGTTTTACAAAACCAGGATCGAAATTTGACAGTGTGGGTCCATCTATTTTGTTTGCCTGCCAACCATACAATAAATTTTCGGTGTCGTCTTTCACAATAGAGCTCGTTTGGTTTTATTTTTTCACGATATTAGCGACCACAAATAGAAAATAGTTTCTGTAAAGTGACCCACTGCAGTTATTATGCTATGATTTGCTAAAACAAGTATAAGTTTAGGTGTCGCATTTCATAATATCCTAACACTTATGTCACAATCTATTTTGTTAAAGGAGGCGGAAAGGTATATTAAAACATATACATTTTTAAATTTGTTAATTAGTTAAGAAACGAATTGTGAACAGTGTTTGATGAAAAAATCTATTTTAAGTAATTAAATTAATAGTTTTGAACTGTTGTTTTGAATACTTTTTTGTGTATTTCAGATCTGATTTAACAAAAATAAGTCCTATAACTTGGACCTGGAGGACACGTCAGTTCTATATGGAAGACGTTTTATTAGACATGGCAAACAACACAGACGGTTAATACAAGCGATTTATCTGCTAATAAACTTTGAATCATATGAATCATACAGTTGTTTCAAACTTCCAGACTGAAAAACAAAAACTTTAACCATTCAGTATACGTTTGAATTAGATGATAAAGGATGCTCAAATACACGGCGGTGGGAAATGATGATGGATTAGTGTCTCCAACCCATCATCCGGACTATACTCATAGAACAATTGATGTTTCCGCCGGAAGTAAAGGCACAAAAATGGCAATAAAACGTAGATCCAACCTCGCGAAGAAAATCCTATCACGAAACGATGAAACCGCTCACTTGCCGCCAATTGCCCAACCAGGATCGCCACAGCAAAATATGACTATAAGTAGCAGCCTTTCACAAGAACGGAAAGAAAACATTCATTTTATAAATCATCCGATCAAACGGAAGGACATTCGGACTCCATATGTGTCTCATGTGAATAGGATTAGTGACGTTGCGACTCCCTATGTGCTTCATACACAAATTACAAATATAGACCCGTCGACAACACTAGCTAGAGAAAATTCTAAACTCTCTAAATATTCAGGGAATGTAGTTGAATACAAACATGAACCTGAAATTCATCACGAAGGAACTTTCACAAGCCTTCAAAAGAATCCGACAAGTAATTCACCGGCCCAAGATAGAAGACCACGAGGAAGACATGGTAGAAAAAGCAATAGTTTTAATGAGAATGATTTTCGGGGTAACACTGATATCAGGGAATTGACAATACAAAGCAATCAAATGGGACTTTACCAAAGAGCAGAAAGAAAGCGGGATAAGTCACGCGAAAAAGGCAATGAATCGTTTTCAATTAGGAAGAAAATAGAGCAATTCCGCAGATGGCACGAAGAACAGTATCGGGAAAAGATTAAGAAATTAAAACAAGAAGTAGATCATCAATTTGAAGCGGAACATAACCGGGTAAGCAGACAAGTAGGTCCATTAAGGGAAACGCCAACATCTAAAAATGATATGTCAGTAACGGTGGATAACGAAAAGGTCCCTTCTGAAGTGTCGCATGAAAAAATGGAGCAAGATAAGCTTACGCCGAATCCTTTATCTGTAACTAATGAAAGTAGTTCCAAAGCTAGGAGTGGTTCGGCTAGAACATGGAAAACATGGCGGAATGTGAACGATTCGTACGCGTATAATGACGTACATAAATACATTAAAGAAAATGAGTTAATGGACGATGAGAAATCTAACTGGATTAAGAAATGGATCCTTGAAGTAAACAGAGCTATGAAAGACCTTAATCACGAGAGTATATTGTGATTATCATTTCAAATTTAACAATATTATAATTTTAGAAATGTGCCCAATGTTGAGTATTTTAATTGTTAAGAGGGACACTGAAGGCTAAGAATATTCATGTCATGAGCGTCATGAATTTCATCTGTTGAAAATATTGTTGGAATTTTCGGGTAGAAATGTTCGTATTGAGTGTTTTTTCGGATAACAATATTCGGATAGAAATACGTCGTTAAAATGTACGGTGTCTGAAGAATTTAAAAGTGTTAACCTAATGGAGTCTTGCACCAATTCAAGACATTCCGATTTATTGAAAATGATCAACCGTTGATCTCCGTTTGCGTTTGAAATAAAGTGTTTTTCCCCTTTATCTGCTTTTGGTTAAAAGAACGCGAAGTTTCATAGTTAAAGATTTTTTTATGTTTTAACGGCAGCATTATTTGATGTTTTATAAGTGAAAATTATGGTATTCTTGAAAACAATAATTCTGTTAGCAAACTTGACTGGACTATGATATCTCATATTGTCTTCTGTTTCAAAGAGAATATTTGTTACTGTATTGTACAAAGTTGGAAGTAATTTATCATGTTAACAGATGTACGTTCAGAATCTTGCGATTATTCTACGAATTATCTGTACACTTAACAATAATCATTGTCTTCGTTTATTTCAAAACGAATTTGAAACTTCATCAGTTTCATATGATACCTTTTCTTGTTCAATATGCACAAATATTTGAATTGTAATGTGTTTTTCGTCACTGTTATAGCGAACCTGTGATAAAAAAAAACTTGTTCAGTATTAAAATACAAAGTTTTTTTGTTCATGAAAGTTGTTGTTTAAATATATTGCTTTCTATGGGAAGCACAGTGTCCGAATTGTCTTTGTCTGAACGGTGTTCACTTTATCCAGAAATAGGCCATCCGAATAGTCCTGATCCCGCTTTGAACGAGACCAGCGTTGTTTTCATTTTTGTTACATTTATATTGTATTCGTTTGCAGTTTATATAAACAGAAAAGAAGCGAAAAAACGAATTTTAAACAATACAATGTTTATGGAATACTTGCAACTTCTTGAAACCATCTGAGTTGTAGAATTTATGCTAAAACTGTCATGGTTATATTTTATGAAGCTTGCGTTCTGACCTTTTCTTAAATCGAGAGATACCCGGTATGAATAAAAAAATCTGGTGAATGAACTTAAATGCAAACGTGACCGACCTCCCGTAAAGCATCGGTTTCCGCTACCTCTGGAAGTCAATAATAGAAAGTCCTAATGATGACTTCTGTGTAAAACTATGGGGCTCCATAATGGCCATGACTTTCGTTAATCAATAATGTGCAATTCATAGTAAGAATTATTAATCCCGGAATACTAGTAGTTTTTGTAATGGATGATTCGCTATGAAAAGAAGTGTAGATTTCTAATTTTATAAATTGTATCTGTCACAGGGTGAGACAAAAGAGCACTGTAACTTGATATCGAACCCGAGACCCTCTGAGACGTTCAGATGCTCTACCGACTGAGCTATCCAGGCGCTAACATAGCTTTACCCCTTATTAGTAAGCAGTTCTATTTACCGAGACATATACCCGTCATCATATCGAAATTCGTCCTCGAATTTCTCATGGGTACGGAGAACATATAGCAACTTTTGATCTTTATACTATTCCAGTCATTCGTTCGTCACCAATTATCACAAACAGATAAAAATGTCCAGTCCAACTGTCTTACATGACTCGAACCCGCAGAATTCTAGGACTGAACTATCCGGCAGCTTACAAATTTTCTTCCCAAAATAGAGAACGGTTCACATAAAATCACTTTTTTATGATGATAAAATGGCACTAATTGGACGCCGTAATGGATTATACTCTAGGTGTATTTATCAGATTATTTTCAACGATATATAATGATGAATGAAAGACCAAGCCTTTATTAAGTTAGTAATATCGATTGCAATTCTACCTTCTAATTCTAAGCAATTTCCTGTCTGTAATTGCATACCAAGTGGATATTATTATTTAACATCGATTTTGAATAAAATACGCTTACAGTCTTCATTTCGAGATAATTTGAGTATTATAACAGTTAACCTCAGTACAAGTCTAGTGTTTTCACGTTCTTAAACCATTAGCAAATTTCACTCAGTCGCAACCTTTCGGGTCTTTCAGAAAGGACTTTGAAAATAATAGTATGAATACACAAAACGCATGCGATATTTCGGTTTAACCTGCTCATGTTAATAAGCAAAGCAGAAAGTAAATACATGTTTTTAGTTAGTTTAAGATATCGTTGGCCATCTTACGAATAATAACAGTACAAATAACCCTATGCGTATAGCAATAGATATTTAAGACATATATTTGCCTTCTTACGTTTTCGTGTTTGCGTGTTTAATTAAGGAATAATTTTTCTCGCATTTTAATACGCGATTAAGCATTCAGCTTAAATCCGCGAACTCCTATAACGAGTCCGGTTTGAACGTGTTGTTTTTGGACAGTCAAATCTGACGGTTGTTTTCTATGATATGCAGTAAATAAATAATAGGTCTATGTTTCTTAAAGTAACAACATTGAGGTTCAAAAGCCTAAACACAAATTCATGCTAGAACATTCACTTCACTTAAATAGGATATGATATGCGGGTCATTTCAAGCATTATATCAGCTTTTTTCTAGGCAAAAATGTTCTACTTTAAATATAAAGCGTATATAATATAAATATAAATTTATATATAAAACATCTAATGCCGTAACTCAAAAGTTTACGCCCTTTGCAATTTCTTTGCTATGATTTTGAGCTTTCTTTTCAAATACATATTTCTAAGTTACATGCATGTACATACATGTAGAAAAATTACTAGATCAGGAAACCTCAAAGATTCCATTTTTATAATTTAAGTATATCTTTGATTAGTTAAATATCTAACGAAAACAATTCAACAATAGCACATTGATATTGAAATAAACGGAATAACATGCCCGTCATACCTTACGACATTTAGTTTATTTATAATCAACAACCAAACAAACGAACAGACGAACGCACGCACACATGAGCGCATTAAGGTAAGTAAATGAATAAATAGATAATTAAATAATTGAATTTACAAACACTTGTTACTCAAGAAAATGAGACAAATAATAAAATATAAATAAAAAAACACTGATATTAGTATGAAGTTTTTCGATTCAAGCAATTTTTTTACAATGTAAGAGAACCAACTGCATGTTCTTCTTTAATTGTTTCATTTGTGTTACTTCCCTTGCAATACAAGGGTATTTCTATTTGAAAAACCCTGATCAAACGCACAAACTTAAGTGTTTTAATTTGTTATTTTTAACGTATTCACTAGGTAACAGTCCTCGCTAGATGATAGTGACCAGTATAATTTTGAAAAGTAGCAGACGTCAACATACTAGTGGGTGTAACAAGTAACAATTAATGTCGGTCTCGTCAGTCTCGCGAGAGAAAAAATGTCCTCTGTACTTCATCTTGCGTGTAATACAGACCGACTTAAACTGGATTTTTCTTTTATACGGTTGATTTCAACAAAAATAAACAACTGGCATAAAGAATAAATATTGAAATAAAGCAGGAAAGAAAGTACAAGTTCCTATTTCTAGATAATTAGTCTTGATAAAGTGTAATCCCTCGAAAGCATTAATCACTACAAAATAACATGAACATTGCAGACTCGGTTTGATTTGAGTCTGAACATGAGGGCTAATGAAAAAGTGCAACATCCCTCACGCCCCCTATCACCGACTTGAGCGGTACTCAATTTACACTTAAAAGTGCCATGTTTATTTATTTATTTATTTATTTCGAGATGGATCATTTCAATCATTATATTGTTAACTCTGAATATAAAACCACATGAACTTGATAAAATCATAAATATAAATGTCCAGCTAGAAATCTTAGTCGTAATAAAAATTATATCGCGGTATAATGACGCACAACAGATAACCAGTGGTTACTTCCGGTTGGAGAATATTTGTACGTCAACACCGTTCTTAAACAAACTCATACACAATTTAATAGCTGATAGACTCGGCAAGGAAGGGAATTATGTTTGTTCTAACACTTTAATTTGTTTCAAGTTCAATTTCACTAGGTTTCAAAACCTTGAGAAACTCATATGTGGCATATGCTAGTATATAAGAAGAACTATATTCTAATAAAAAGCTAAAAATAGTTTCAAGCGCTTCTCTTACGTCATTGCGTCAGTGAAAGCATCTATTTCTGGTGTGGCAGACGAGAAGGTTTTATCTTCTTAATCTGTAAATGATTACCAGGACACGAATCCTGCTGTTACAAAGGTGTTTCCCATAATTCAACGCGCTCAATGTAATCGCAGGGGATAATACCAGTTCATCTTTAACAATAATCGGCGTAGGAAATTATAAAATAATAGCTAATAAAGGCAGATGAAACATAATTACATAATTACGATAAACTGAGTTCTTAAGTAGGAAGTTAACATTCTATCAAAGAAGTGGAGTAAATATAAGCAAAATAAGCCTTTCTGCGGCGTCAAAGCAATGCGCTATAATACTTTTGATTAGGAGTTTGGCTTTGTTTTGATATGTAGTTCAAATTATTATGATGGTAGAATAGAGAAAATAACAATCCCTAAAGGAAGCCCAACACGGCAAAATTGAAAAGGTTGCAGGCTTGATTTAGCCTGTTCATGGACGGTACTGTAAAGTGCAAACTACCGTCCACGCCCCCTAGCACCGGCCTATTTTATTGTCTAGATCGGCGAGTAGTTTACCATTACAAGTTATAGAAAGCATTCTGAGATTCTTTCTCAAAACTCTGTAGCTTTTTATACAATATATACTTTTATAACTTGTCGGTCACCCATGATCATGTCAATGGACACTTGTGACTAATTTTCAAGCTGCTACTTGGACGAGTCTTTCAGCAGATGAGCAATGCTGGGTACTTTCCCAGTCACGTTCTCTACCAGTTGTATAGTATGTGAAGAGGCATCCTTTGCACAATATGAATAAACATGTATAGCTTATGAAGTTATTGCTAATGTGGTATTTTGTCCATTTTTGCAAGAATGCCTTCAATAAAGAGTCACAACGTTTGTATTTTAACGCTCTCAAAACAAACCTCAAAACAAACCTATCAATCAGCCCTTGTATGCACAGACTCACATAATCGTGTTATCTACCGGCATTCTACTGACAAAATACAGAAAAATTTTTAAAAGTTGTAAGGCATTAGTAGATAAGGTGTTCTATATTCGACAAGTGGATAAGTAATCCTATCGAAATAACATTAATTTTAAGAAGGTGCTAACATTTATAAGCTATTATATAGATAAAGAACGCTTCTAGGTAAATGTAAAACATCACCTCTAAATTGAGTTATCTATCATTGAAGATTCGAAGAGACAATGGTGTACTTGTAAGCAGAATTTTGTTTATTACGCGCCTTTGAGTTATTCTCAGTAACGTGTTGATAGTTTATTAAACAACGTAATTAACACAAAGTAATCAAAACGACGAAAATGAAATTAAACCACTCACATACTACCAATTATCATTTGCTATGTGTATAGTGTAAACTACCAAGTATCATTTAGCTATTTGTAAACGACAATTTACAATCTTCGAATACTTATCGTGCTTTCTACATTTTGACACTGTGGTCACTATTTTATGAGAGATGACATTATTTTGCAAACAAAAATAGGGAAAAAATCCCTTAAGAACGCCCAGAACAGCAAAATTACAGATGTTAATGTTCAGTTCGACTGCGCCTGTTCGTTAGTGGCTGTTGCAAGCTATTGCAAGACACCAGGTTACCCCTTCCCT